CGTGGAAATATGTTGATCGAGCTCTTTTCTTCATCACTGTTACTACAAAATGTAAATAAGAAAAAAAATCAAGCTTTATAATTATTTACTGGGTATGAATTGAGACCCCATTACATTAAAATGTAAGTTTAATATGTATGTAACAAAAATGTATGTGTAAGTTTTTTTTTCATGTTATGCAGTATGCGGTTCTTATATTAAGCAAGTTTGGCCATCCCGTGTTTGATTTGATAAACTTTTTTTTTTTTTAATTTAATTAAACAGGAAAAGAAATAACAAACTGTCTAAATTGAAAAGACCTACTAAAGAAAAATTGTGACCTCGAGAAGAAACAAGCCTGCATTCCTTTATTTTCATCTGAGAAACGGCTTTGTGATCCAAAGTGTGCCCCTTACCAGTTTGACCACAGAGCCATCTCGGCAGGGTGAGGCTTGAAGAAACTTTCTCGTTGGGACTTCTAATTTATATCTGTTAGCTTATAATAGAAATATACGCACACCCTTGCTTATATATATATATATATATATATAGAAGGAGAGAGCTTGGACACTTTTTAAAAAAAAACAATGTAAACATAATTTACAACGTAACAGTCAAAACATGAGGAAAAATAACAACAGCGGAGATTATAAAAAAAAAAAAAAAAAATCTTTAAAATGGCTATAGAAGTGTCCGAAAGCGCTTGGGGCAATAAAAAACAAATTATGGACAATTTTTATATTCTTTAACTTCTACAAAACAGAAAAATGATAGGATGCTGGAAAAAAAAAACTTAATAAAAAATTAATTCCATCTTTCCTGTCGGCCATATTTAATGAAAGATATTTGGAAGAAAGGTTGCTGCATATATATACTTTTTTATTGTATTTCTCCAATTTTCAAATAAGTTGTTGCACATCGGTATCAAAATTTTGGAAAAGTTTATGCTTTTGTTATGTTTTTGTTTAAGCTTACGGCCCTATCATGTTGAAATCAACGAAGTTAAGTAACGTCGAGCCTAGTCAGTACCTAGATGGGTGATCGCTTGAAAACTATGTGCTGTAAGCTTAAATGTGTGGGTGGAGTAATCGATAATGCTTCGGAGTTTATCGCAGAGCCTACTTCCAATTCCCGTTTTTTATTTTTGTTTTTTTTTTATAGTCACTTACGCGCAAATACCCTGGGGAAATACCCTGAATCCACCTATTCTTATCTGTTATGCGTTAATTTGTAATGCTTGTATCACGAAAGCATTGTTATCTCAAAGAAAAAAAAAAGAAAAAAAAATTCATACAATCTAAAAATATTTTCTGGCTTTAAATAACCTACAAAGTCATTGTTTTTGTTGGAATACTTTCGACCATTTTCGTCATTATCCAGAACTCTTGTCAGTATCGTAGACAAAACTTTTGTCTGAATCATTATATATTGCATATTTTAATAAAAAAAAAAAAAAAAAAAAAAAAAAGACACTTTTTTATATATATTAAATGGATGGATAATTTCCGGACAGAACTTTTGAAGTTAAATTTATTTTCATATTGGCTGTAATTTAATAATAAAATTTTAATTTCTTTTTTAAAATTCTCTAGTTTTATTTTTTATTTTATTTTACTTTTATTTATCTATTTTATGAAATATTCTGACTTTTATTTCAACCATACGTCATGAAGAGCCCCTCACACTTATCCCGTAAACTGACCTGGTCGTGAGGACACTATATTGCGAATACATGACCAAGTGATTCCATTTTTGCCGATCGTGACAGGTTCTGAGGTTTGGCGAAGCTATTCTCTGTCCAGACCCTTAGTTTGCAGTCTGCTCCGTCTTCTATTGTTTCCTGAAAGGGATTTTAGCGAGGCCACCAGATCTTGTCACATGGACATTACCATTCTATCTATCTATCTATCTATCTATCTATCTATCTATCTATCTATCTATCTATCTATCTCACTTTGTTCATATTTATCTACCTATCTATCTTTATCTAAATGTGTTTGTTATAATAATAAAAAATACTGTTTCGCCAAAACAAAAAAAATGGTTGTTCAGTTTACTTCTGAAGGATAACGCTTTTAAGGTAAGCGGTAATTTTTTTTTTTTTCATCAAAAATGTATTACTAGTAATATTTTTTCTTCAAAAATGTATTGCTGGTAATATTTTACGTCAAAAATGTATTGTTGGTAATATTTTTCGTCAAAAATGTATTGTTGGTAATATTTTCTTTCGTCAAAAATGTATTACTAGTAATATTTTTTCTTCAAAAATGTATCGCTGGTAATATTTTTCGTCAAAAATGTATTGTTGGTAATATTTTCTTTCGTCAAAAATGTATTGTTGGTAATGTTTTTTTCTTCAAAAATGTATTGTTGGTAATGTTTTTTTCTTCAAAAATATATTCCTGGCATTAAAACCTATTTTTACACCTTCATAGTGTTTTGACCTCAATTTACGGGTTAACTATTTGCCCATAGTTGGAACCCTAACAGGTGCTACCACCACAGGTCAGCAATTAAGAGGTAGTTCCACGTTCCTCAAAACCTTCTGATCAGAGGTCTTGCTGTTGGACTTAGTTTATAGTTTTACCCAAGACGTGGATTTCCACTATCGTCTTACCCAGGATGAAGAAAGAAAGAAAGAAAGAAGTATTTAACGTCTATTTCAATGAAATGGAAAAAGTTGTCAATTTCAAATCTTTTCATTTGTACCCCCTTCTTAAAATAAACACCATCATTCATATTTATGATTGTTATTGAAATATTTTCTTAAAATTGTTAAGGTTAAATATTTAACGATGTGATATGGATATTTTAATGTCATAGAATTCACCATGAGCTTATTCAATCATTAACATAAGGATTAAAATTCATCCGAAAATGAAAATACTTCACGGATCTTTCTAGTAAATATGAATGTTGGTTGCTATTTTAAGAAATAAGGGGGTATAAATGAAAAGATTTAAAATCGAAAACTTTTTCCATTTCCCTAAAACATGCGTTAAACACTTTTTCTTTCTTTCATTCCCAAAAAACAAATGCCATCTCTGATATGTCTTTTCTATATTTCTGCGCGATCAAAATGGAATAGTCCATCATTTATGGGGTATTGGTAGGAGACGTTAAACAATTCTATCTTCCCATCTTTCTTTCTTTCTTTTTGTTACAGCGTGAGCTGTGTGTAAAGAAATTTTAAGTAAATTGTTAATATTGAGTTGGTACATAATTATCAGGTGTTTTTTAAATAACATTTATTATGAAAAAGCATCATAACAATTCAACAATAACATATTTAAATAATTATTCCGGATCGTATGATTATCGGCACGCATTTTTATAACCTGAAAATAAAATAATATTTTTATTAAAAAGAGTAAACAAAACAGCAATTTTTATTAACAGATAACACGCCTGCAAAAACGCCTGATAATTATGCACCAACCCAATATATTAAAAGTTTCTAACTATAGTTTATTTCATATTATATATACTTGATATCTATAAATATTTAAGGATTTTCATAATATTTATATCATCTTAATATTTAAAATAATTTTTGGTTTGAGATCAGTATAATTACACTTTATATTAGTGATATATATATCACTAATATAAAGTGTAATTATACGAGATGTATTCAATAAATATCCGACATTTGGGCATAAAAAATCAATTTTGCTCGTTCCATAAATTGTAGCCAATCTAATACTACGCTTAAAGTCGAGGTACCCCATAGAGATTATTTTGAAAATACAAAAGTGTGGCACAAGGCCAAAAGGGGGATGGGTGGGAAAGGATGATATTATTATGTCTTATAATTAAACTTAGCTAGCCACAATTACTAACCCAAATATACCACAGTATTCCTTACACCAAAACAACACATTCTTACGTACCATTCTTACAACAGTCACTATAATACCTCAAAGTCTCTATGTAATCCTAAGTAGTTCCCATATGTGCAATTTATCTTGGGGGGGGGATAAAAATAACAACTTATAAAAATGAAAACCTCAATGTATATTTAAAATTCATACCTATTTAAGCAGCGGCACACCTAAAAGCAAATGAAAATATCACGGCACACTTAGCAAATTTTTTAGAAGGTATACATTTAAATGTTATGAAATAATTTAATTTAAATGTTATGAAATAAAACAATGAAAAAAAAAATACAGACACAAATACGAACTTATTTTTTTCAATGTTTCTATTCAACTATTTGAAGTATGAAACTAAATTATGTTTTTTTCGCAATTTCGTGACAATATTTCGCGGCACACATAAGAGAACCGCGCGGCACACTAATGTGCCGCGGCACGGCGGTTGAGAATCGCTGCCATAGAGGAAAGTTCATCGGAACAATTACCGTTAAGGTATTTATAGAAAACGCTCTCTACGTTACGGCGGTGAGGGAAGTGACTGAAACCGAGATGCCAGGACAGGGCCGATAACATTGCAGATTCTTTGGATTTTATCAAAAATCTCTAAATATATCACAAAAGTTATAAAACAAGGAAATTAATTTATTATTTATTTCATTATTAGCTAATCTGACTGTGTAGCTGACACAAAGACGAATCCATAGAGATATCTATATCGCCTTGGGCACAAGTAATACGACTCTATTGATACATGACATATGACTATGATAAGTCTCTCTCAACATAATCGTATATGTGCACTGAACCCGGATCTTCTTTCGGATAAACAAGCCGTAATTATTGTAATTAGAAGCTTGCCCCCTGCTGGGCTGTTATCGGTTTAGGATGAAAATTATTGCAACCAGGTTGTGGCAAAACTAGGAATCTGGTTACTATATCCAGAATAACAATGGCAATTAATCGAAGGTTATCTGTAATTATTAAAGACGAAAAACGTTTAGCGATATAAAAAGTATGAATCTAATTGTGAATGCAGAATAAAGAAGGTAAAAGATAATAAAAGGGAATATGATATCTGTGGCGCTGCCTTTGGAACAAGCTTATCGCCTGCTAAGAAGGGTTCGGTGATTGGACTTCAATCTAATATTTTCGAGAACAACTTCCTAATCTATTTGAGTCGATGTTGTAAGGAGAAAGGAAGAAAGTGATAGGAAAGCATAAAGGCTGAGTTTTATAAAGTGAGTGAAAGCAAAGAAGGAAAGATATGTAAAGGAAAATGAAAATTAAGAAAGCAAATAAGGAGGGGGCAACGAAGAAATAAGAAAGAAAGACAGAAAGAAAGAACTGAGGAAGGAAAGAATAATGAGTAGATGAAGTTTCAGAAAAAAAGCGGGAATAATGACGAAGAAAAAGAATTAGAGAAGAAGAAGAAGAAGAAGAAGAAGAAGAAGAAGAAGAAGAAGAAGAAGAAGAAGAAGAAGCATCGATAAAAAGATTGAAGAAAGATATTGCAAAAGGAGGAGGAGGGGTAGGAGGGAATTGAAAAAGAAAAAAAAATGAAAAACAACGGATTTAAAGAAGAAAAACACAAATTAAAGAGGAAGAAAAAGAAAACGTATTAGAAGAAGAAGAAGAAGAAAAAAGAAAACGTATTAGAGGAAGAAGAAAAAACAAACGTATAAGAAGAAGAAAATGTATTAGAAGAAGAAGACGAAGAAGAAGAAAACGAATTAGAAAAAAGGAAGAAGGGGAAAGAGCATTAGAAGAAAAAGCATCGATGAAGAGACTGAAGAAAGATTTTGAAGAGGAGTAGGAGGGATTCGAAAAAGAAGAAAAACGCAAAATAGAAATGATAAACGAAAGAGCAGAGAAGAAGAAGAAGAAGAAGAAAAAGAAGAAGAAGAAGAAGAGGAGGAGGAGGAGGAGAAGGAGGAGGCTGCTGCTGCTGCTTACTCCAGCCCTTCCGATGTTATGGAAGAAAATAAACTATATCGATCTTAACGTTTATGGCTGGTAGGAACTTCTCAAGAAATATTGGTAGCTTACAAAATATGGATTGAGACGAGGACTCTCTGGACGGTAAAAACATTGATCAAAATCACGTGACACTGGGTGGGTTATGGGTGCGGTCGCTTGGACTGATAAAGGGTTGTTGTCAGGGGAAGCGAACGTCGCTGAGTTAGAATCTAAAATTGAATTCGTTAACGCAATTGTTAGAAGGCAAAACATGGAACAGCAATTAAGTCTGATGACCCGATCAGATAAAAGTGTGTGAGGTTGGGTTGTGTTCGAGACAAGGGCAAGAATTTATGTGTGCTTGTATATTTAGATTTGTGTCTTTGCCTGTGTGTGTTTGTGTGATTTTTTTTTTTTTTTTTTTTGCGTGTCTGCATGTATTTATGTGTGTGGTTTTGTACAAGTACACATGGCGCTCCATAAAATGGCAACTGACAAGTGACCACAGCATTGAAAATTATCAGAATATTAATAATTCCCAGAAGCAAAATCGAGATAAGAGACCAGTTTTCTGTTGAATGACCAAAGTTAAGCGATTGTCAGGACATATTTCAGCGCAAAATTTCAACAAGAATTCATCGGAACAATTTATAACGACAATAACCTTTTATTTCGTAATTTTTCATAACACAGCAGCAAACAACACAGACTGAAGATTTGCATGTACAATTGAGTAATATTGGGTGCTTTAGTATCTGTCTATATTTATGAGATGAGGTATTATGTACACTATTTACATTATTCGGACTATTGTCCTCATCTTTGTCGCCATGTTTATTACAACGTTTCGGCCGTTGTACGCTTCAGCCTTCTTCAGGTGGTTGGAATGTCGAACTGAACCCTTTATTTCGCTCACTGAGGTAGATTGTTCTAGTTCCATGTGCCATGTGTAATGGATATCAGTTATCTCCTGTTAATTCCCCTTTGAAAGTTCTCCACTACCTTAACCAGATATTGAACTCACATTCTTTGGGTCCTGTCACTGGATCTAACTAACGCCTTTATCCAAGGACACATGGCACAGTGGACAGAGGCATTAGTTAGATCCAGTGACAGAACCCAAAGAGTGAATTCAATACCTGGTTAAGGCGGTGGAGAACTTTGAGAGGGGAATGAACTGGAGATAACTGATAACTGACATCCATTAGACATGGCACGTGGAACTAGAACAGTCTAACCCAGTAAGCGAAATAAAGGGTTCAGTTCGACATTCCAACCACCGGAAGAAGGCCGGAGCGTACAATGGCCTAAACGTTGTGATAAACATGGAGACAAAGATGAGGACAATAGTCCGAATAATGTAAATAGTGTATTGGGTGCTTTGAGTAAATAAGAGCGGGACTCCCGCATTAATATGAAATGATCTAGAAGCATGGCCGTTTAAGACAACCTTCATTACACGATTTGTTAAGGAAAAAAGGGTTAAACTAAATATTCGTAAAACCTGGGCGACATTTCGTGCTTTAGTAAGTAAAAGAATCGCAATAGTCATAATTTATCCGAATTTCATATCTAAGTCGTTTTCATTCATTATTCACATTATTCGCACTGTTATCCTCATCTACATTGCCATATTCACAACGTTTCGGCCGCTGTACGACCCGGCCTTCTTCAGGTGATTGGCATTTCGAACCAAACCCTTTATTTCGTCCACCAGAGTAGATTGTTCTAGTTCCACGTGTCATGCCTCTTCAATATGTTTCCGTTTATTTCCCTTTAACTCAATTCCCCAAATTTTGATTCTCCACTGCTGTGGCCTGGTATTGAACTAACAACTCTTTGGATCTAGTCACTGGATCTAACCAACGTCTTTATCCACTGGACCATGGAGAGTTGACTTAAAGGGAAATAACTGAGACATCCGGTAGAGGCATGGCACATGGAACTCGAACAATCTATCCTGGTGGACGGAATAAAGGGTTCGGTTCAAAATTGCAATCATCTGAAGAAGGCTGGAGTGTACAACGACCGAAACGTTGTGAATATGGCTATGAAGATGAGGATATCGATCTGAATAATGTAAATAATGCAGTTAATCATAATACCTCATCTCAGGGATATAGACAGATAAGTCGTTATCACTATTAATTTTGAATAATTTTTCTTTCATTATACACACAATTTATATTCGGACTATTGTCCTCATCTTTGTTGTTTTTATCACAATATTCCGGTCGCTGTACCCTCCGGTCTTCCTCGGGTGTATATCCATCTGGATAATCTACAGAGAATTCCGAAATAAACCCTTTATTCAATCTTTCCGGAGCAATGTTATTTTTGTTAACCTCCCTCTCTTTCCCCTCTCTTCCTATTACCCCTGTTGTTGGTTGGGGGGCAATCGGTTAGGGGGTTACCCAATATCAACACACTCTTGCTGTACATTACAACAGTGGTGTTTTATCGTTCAACAGAAATTTTTATTTATGAATAAATCCAAAAGATATAATCCACAGAAACATATTTGATAAACAATATCCTATATGCATGAATAAATGAATAAGACAACCATTCGCCCATGCCGTGAATATTGCTGTCATATTTGGTCTGTTGTTCTGATATATATATATATATATATATATATATATATATATATATATATATATATATATATATTTAAAGATTCTTCATAAAATCCAAAGAAAAATCTGCAATGTTATCGGTCTTGAACTGGCATCTCAGCTTCAGTCACCTTCCCACTGCCCTAACATAGTTTCTCTCTAACTTTTCCATAAATATTTTCATGGTAATTGTTCTGATGTGCATTCCACTTTGCTACCTAGACTTTATGAATTTAAGCGCAGCAATGTCACATCATTTTACAGTTGAAATGTCTATATGTCATTGTCAGCAATGTCACATCATTTTACAGTTGAAATGTCTATATGTCATTGTCAGCAATGTCACATCATTTTACAGTTGAAATGTCTATATGTCATTGTCAGCAATGTCACATCATTTTACACTTGAAATGTTTATATGTCATTGTCAGCAATGTCACATCATTTTACACTTGAAATGTCTATATGTAACCGTAGGTTCTATGCTAACAGTTTCTTCTGTCGCACTTCTCGCCTATGGAACTCTCTTCTAGCTTCTTGCTTTCCATCTTTGCTTTGATCTTCAAAAATTTAAATGCAATGTCCATCATTATTTAATTTCTTCTTAATTCCTGTTCTCTGTTGTTCTCTCTCTTTAATAATGTATTTCTTTTTCTCATATTCTTTTACACTCTTTGCGTCTTAGTGACTTTATTGCCTTGCTTGAGGTGAAATGATTAAAAAGATGTATTTTTATTTAACTAATACAGCTGAAAAAGAAAGGAAAAACATTTAAAAAGAAACTGACTATTAGGTGTGTGTGTGTGTGTGTGTGTGTGTGTGTGTGTGTGTGTGTGTGTGTGTGTGTGTGTGTGCGCGCGTGTAAAAGTCTAGTTGTCAGTCGCACGGGGGAAAGGAAATTTTCCCCCAGCGGAGAAAAGCAGCTTCCGGTACCTACCTCATTCCCGATGAAAAAAAAAGGAAGTGGTAGATTATTACCGTTCTTTTCTAGTCCTTAAACAGCGCCACTTTGATGTGACAGAACGAGTGGAAGTGATTCCCACATATCTGCTGAACAATTTTAAGACTTAAAGTCCTGTACTTTGGGAACCAGTCTGACATGATAAGTGTGCACTAAGCATAGCGCAAAGTAGGATCGATGGGCTGCGTTCAAATGCCAGCCAAAAAACGCTGCTTTGAGATTTTTAACAAGGAAAATCTGAAGTTGATGCTCAAAATTTCTGCAAAGCATTGTCGATTTATTCCAGATGGAATGGTCCATTATGACATGTCTCTAATTTGTATTTCGGTACATTGTATTTATTTTCAATTTTTCTAGTTGAATTGTTCACCAATGTTGCATATATCCGACATTATACATAACTAAGTTGCAATAAAATTTGTATTTTTTATGAATACAACGTAATGAAAATTAAGATATAGTCCCGTATCATAGATTGGGTGGGGCACTTATCATGTTATGTTTGCAAAACAATAGATAGATAGATAGATAGATAGATAGATAGATAGATAGATAGTAGACTGATATAAATATATATATATATATATATATATATATATATATATATAGAGAGAGAGAGAGAGAGAGAGAGAGAGTGAGTGAGTACGCTGAGATAGATAAACTGATAGATAATGAGTAGAGTGAGATAGATAGATAGATAGATAGATAGATAATGAGTAGACTGATATAAATATATATATATAGATAGATAGATAGATAGATAGTGAGTATGCTGAGATAAACTGATAGATAATCAGTAGAGTGAAATAGATAGATAGATATATATAGACTGATATATATATATATATATATATATATATATATATCATATTCATATCTATCTATCTATCTCTCTCTCTACTCATTATTATACCCTTATCAAAAATACCCATTGAACCCACCTAGACGGGTTCAGGGCCTGTCTAGCTCCCCGGACGAAAACCTTGCCCTTCGGCAAAAGTCTTCGTTCCTTCCTCTGCCAAAGCAGAGAGTTCAACAGTCATGAACTGGTGCTGGTTACACCATTCATTCATTATACCTCTTAAGAGGCGCAGTATTTATAATGTCAGGAAAAGTCCATTATCGTTATAGGTAAGTTCCTATAACACTGTAAACATCCTGAGCATAAATATTACGCCCCTTGTTCCAATGTCTTTAACGAACCCGTACTGTTCTTGTCCTATCTCTGGCCTGATTCTGCTGCGTGCTCTATTCATCAGAATACGGATGATGAGTTTTATCACGTGGCTCATTAGTCTTATTGTTCAGTGGGGTTCGCATTCGTTTGCGCCTGGTTTCTTAGGCATTGCTATGAAGATTGATCTGCTGAGGTCTTCCGCTATATCCCCCGCTGTTGTAGATTTCATAAGTTCTGTATTAAGACGATATTTTCATTTTAGCCAGCAATAAAAAAAAAAAAAAGAAATTGAAGACCTTAAAAATAAATTCGAAAAATTTCCATCTTAAAACTTACTGAAGGAAGTTAGAGATAAAAACAAAATCCCATTCCAAGACATTCTCTAAGAATCCAGTAACAATAACTTTGCTACTTCGTTATATATAAGAAATCCACTCCTGCCATCTCAATTATAATAGCGAATGTTCGCATACAGACAAATTAACGGTAATAAAAAAGCTTCCTAACGAGAGCGTATGTGATCTCATCCACGCGCACAATATTACTTAAAGAATTAACAAAAAACAAGCTCTAGTCAATAACGATTTCTCCAGCAACATTAAAGACATATAATCAAATTGTTTCTTTCAATATTAAGCAATAATAACACAATTTAGTAATAATATTAATATATCTGATTGAAACTGCATGCACAGAAATGACCTGCAGGGCGAATCCGCTGTAAGGAATATGATAAAATCAGTTTGATAGGCTCAAATTGGCAGCTGATCTCAAAAGTGACTTAAAATCTGGGGCAAGAAATGACTTAAGAAGACATCTTACTCTAAGTGTCTCAGACCAGAGATCTATAAGTGCCCATTTAAACCAACATGAAAATGTAGAAAAGTTGATACACATCGAGAACACAAATCTGATACGCACCTTCAACTGTAAAAAAAATCTCCTAAAAATAATTAATGCTCTTATCATTAATAACAACGGCAACAAAAATAGTATCAAAATGAAAATAGCCAAAATGAACTGGCTGTCTTTTCAACAGTCGGGGATTTTCCTCCCTAAGCCATCGGCGCACGGTTGAAAGAAAGGCGAATTGTTACGTGCTTATTCTGTGAATAAACACGCCAATATATATATATATATATATATAGTTATTTATATATAAGTATAAATATTTTATATTTACACACGCTCTATCCCTGATATTGAGCACTTTATCCCATAAATATAGGATATCTTAAGATTATATTTCTTCATATATATATATATATATATATATATATATATATATAAAGAAAGACTCAAACACTAATATTCCATGTTTATAATTTATTACATTTTAATCGTAATCACGTTCCAATTCATCAAACATACAAATTCAAAAAGAAATCAGAAATTCTTTTTGAATTTGTAGAATCTGTTGAATTGAATCGTGATTCGATTCAATATAATAAATTATAACCATGGAATATTATGTTTTGAAACTTTATATTATATTCTTACTCTGTCCTGGATTCTATCCTCTTGAGAATTTATATATATATATATATATATATATATATATATATATATATATATATATATATACCTTTATAGTATTTTTTTCCAATTGTCATTTTATACCAATTTGTCTTGTCCACAGAATTGATCTGGGAATTTAACTATATTGTCGAGATGGAAAAAACATCCCTTACTATAAAGGTAATTTACATTAACCAGAAAAAAAGGCTTAGGCAGAAGCGTCTATCTTTTTTAAATTTGGATTTTTTAATGTAACTATAACAACAAAAAATTTCGATTTCATTTTTGCCTTGAAAAAAGTCGGAAGACGAAACGCGTTGTCAAAATCTAAAAAAATTTTTTCCAATTGTCATTTTATACCATATATATATATATATATATATATATATATATATATATTTTTAAGACATTTCTCGGTGTTTGTCAATTTCATAATATATATATATATATATATATATATATATATATATATATTCTGTTGGCCAGGAAAAAAAATATATATATATATATATATATATATATATATATATATATATATATATATAAAAGTAAATATAAAAGTGAACATTAAAGTCAACACTTAGGGCGACAGGCTGTTTCATGCTAGGCGCAATTGTCAGGTCTGACGATTGTGTCTAGCATGAAACAGCATGTCGCCTCTAAGTGTTGACTTTAATGTTCACTTTTAAATTTACGTACGCACTATCTCTGTTATTGAGCACTTTATCCCATAAATATAGCACACCTTAAGAGTATATTACTTCATAAAAGTAAATATATATATGTTTAGGAATTTGTAGGTCTGATGAATTGGATCGTGATTACGATTCCAATGTAATAATAACCATGGAATATTAGTGTTTGATTCTTTTTATATAATATATATATATATATATATATATATATATATATATATATATATATATACATTGGGTTCTCCTGAAAGTTCATGCCGCTTTTAAGTGGAATTAAAACACAAAACATTAAATATTTTGTCAACTAAATATGAACCATTTTGTTGCACAACCATTCTCCATTTTTCCTTCAACTTAAAGATTCCATCTTCCCAGAATTTTGGCGGTTTCTCGGCAAAGAACCCATTAAGGTGTTTTTTACGTCGCCCAAATAATTAAAATTTTACCCTTGAAATTATTTTGCAAGAACCTGAATAAATAAAAATCCGAATGAGTAATGTCTGGGGAATAGAGCGGGTGTAATAAAACATTCCAGGCAAGCTGCAACAGTTTTTGCCGGGTCGCCAAAGAAACGTGAGGTCTGGCACCATCTTGATGGAAAATAACACCTTTCCTGTTCGCTAATGCTGGGCGTTTTTCTTGAATTGCTGACTTTAATTCATCCAGTTGCTAGCAGTACAATTCGAGATCAGTTAACTGGTTACCTGACAGAAGCTCATAGTACAGGATTACTTTCAAATCCCACCAGATACACAGTATGACTTTCTTAGGATGAAGACCTGCTTTTGAGGTAGCTAAAATTGGCTCATATCACATACCCCAGGATCTTTTTCATTGAACATTGTTTTAAACGATTAATTTCTCAACACCCATTACAATTTGCTTAAAAAAGGATGCATTTTTATTGCGTTTATTTCTCAGATTAAATGCGATCCAAAAGATTCTTTTCATTCACATCATGTGGTACCCAAACATCGTAGCGAATTGAGTACCCAAACTTCACTAGATGCTCATGGGTGGTGATTTTTTTTTTTTTTTTGATAAATTTAGTGTTTCTGCCAATTCCTGCGTTGTGTAATACGGGTTATTCTCAATGTCATAATTTGGTTGTCATCTGTAATGGAAGGCGGGGGGGGGGTCTGCCTGAGCGTTCTTCATCAATAAGGCTAAAATTACCAACTCTAAACTTAGCGAACCACTTCCGTACAGTCCTCTCAGCTAAAGCACCTTCACTGTACACAACACATAGCTTTTTTGTTGGTTGCGAGGCATTTTTGCATTTAATGTAAAAAAAAAACATCAAGTGTCTAAAATGCACCTTATAATCTTCCATTTACATAGAGATGCAAAATTGACACGAATTAAGTCATTTTAAACTTTCTTTCTCAAGAGATAATTTGAAGTGTAATCTAATGGGAAATGTAAGTATATTATATCTCTTGATAAATTTGACATGTTCTAACGTGTTGGAAAATGAACGACTAAAAATACAAATCCCGTCTATTTTAAATGCAACATATATTTTTTAAAATAAAAATGCGTAATCCTCGTATAATATATGGACTCCGCTAGCATTGCGTTAACAAGATATTTTTATTAAAATTTAAATTATGTAACGATCAGTCTCTACCCAGCTACCTGAAAATTTCACTGTGCATAAAACTCAGAGTCGTGCTACTGGTGTGTGTGTGTGTGTGTGTGTGTGTGTGTGTGTGTGTGTGTGTGTGTGTGTGTGTGTGTGTGTGTGTGTGTGTGTTAGAGAGAGAGAGAGAATGAGAGAGAGAGTAATTAAATAATTTTAAACTTTCTTTCTCAAGAGATAGTTTGAAGTATGCTCTAATCGCAAATGTAAGCATATTATATGTCAATAAAATTGACGTGTTCTAACATGTTAGAAAATGAACGACTAAAAATAGGTATGAACTTTCCGGACAACCCAATATATATATATATATATATATGTATATGTGTATATGTGTGTGTGTGTGTGTGTGTGTGTGTGTGTGTGTGTGTGTGTGTGTGTGTGTGTAATGAATACAAATAAAACTTGTCACTTAGCTGGTTGATGTTATATCCATCACCTCAACTCCAGAGGTATATGTGGGAGGTATTTCTGCCGCACTTTGTATTAATGATGAAATCTAGTCGTTTAGGGAAAACGACTATTTGGTTGTCAAGGCTTCATTGAGAAGTTGGTTTCCCGGTCCCTTTTTTGAGTTTACGCTTAGTCAGGGTTTCAGATGGTTTGGAAGGCGTTGAATCTCCCACTCCCGACGTGTCATCTCCCACTCTAGGCATAGCGTCTCCCACTACTGTTAATAGTCATACTGTAGGGATTTTAAAAACCAAAGTTTAGGGATAGTTGTTTGCCAACATTAGGGTTGTGGAGAGT